AGCTTAACACCTTCTTTCCTCTGTCAAAATCTGCATGTAGAAATTGCTCGATGATTAGTAGCAAATCCACATGGCTGGCTAGGCCTCGACGGTCAGCAGTGCGATTCACCAACCTGATGTTTTTCCACCATCAAGGCTTCTCTTGCAGTTGCAGTTGCAGGAAAAATGTGCGGGCTTCAGAACCAGCCCACATATGGCTTCCAAACCATACTAGGGTACACCATGTACAAGTTTGTACTACTACAAATTTACTCATGATGGCAGTTTGGATAAATCAGAGTACCCTTGCGATTGGTAGGAGCTTAAAGGTCTGAAGAATGAAATTGTTCATAACACGATATTGGCTCCAACAAATCCAAGTATGCTGGCTAAAGGTCTCCTCATTTTTGGAGACAGTATAAAGGTCTCCTTATGAGCCACACTAATCGTACCCTTGCATTTTAAACAAGACCAAGCAAAGAAAACTATCACAGATATAGTATCACACAAACATAAATAATGCAAACAAGAAATGCAAAGGAAACGGTAAATAAAAAATGTTGCTAAAGGAAACCCCATAATATATTAATTTAGTCATGCTATTGGCTGAATGTCGGTTAAGTAGCACAACAAGCATGTCATCTACACAAAATGAAATGTTTCACCAGGGTTGGTACCCTTGTGCTACACAGCAAACATGGCATGGCGTCCTATGAAGCGTAATAATGTTAAGAGTATCCCTAGAAGCACCGTGACACGGTCAAAACACCTAATGTAGCCGCCTTCGGCAGTAAGAGGCGCCACAGTAGCAAGCTAACTTTGGAGGGCACTGTCAAAGCACCTAATAGAGCCGTTTTCGGCAGTCAGAGGCACCACAGTGGCAAGCTAACTTGACAACATTGCCATCTGGACCAATGACACTGTCCATGCCATACCCGTAGTCATACGAGAGTTCCTGCAACAAGTATAGTCAAGTCAGCAATCCATAGGCAGGTGAAACAGCAGGAAGATAAAAGGTGCCATGTGCCCGCACTTGTACAATTGATATAATTGATTATGGTTCAATATCTACTAATAGCCAACTTAACAGCAGTTTGCAAAACCAATTCATAAAATACATATCGTCTTAGTATGGGTGCATATATCTATGATCAATAGGCCGGGGGTAAAAAAATAAGAAGCTTCCATTATCCAAAAAAACATATCACCTTAGAATGTGTATGATCAAATTTTCTCACTTTGATCTCTATAGTGTATCTAGAAATTTCGGGGTCGGCAGTAATAAAATGATGCTGTAGATTTTTCACTAACTAATGAAACACATTAAGGTCAACAGGTCAAATAACTGAACAATAAAGCTTCAATAGTTATGATTCAACTATCACTGAATTTCATGGTTAACATCTTACAGAGTTAACTTTTCCTTAAAAA